ATAGTATCAAGGCAAACAAGGGAAGGAATCCGTACAGTTGTCTACTGCGTTCCACCCGCCATGACAGTAATATGAAGTACGAACCCGACTGCCCTCTGCACAACCCCGACATAGAAATAGTGAAACACATCACAATGGCTTGCAAGTTGCAAGTAAATAGAGGGTACCATTTGGCCATATATAAATTATACTAGTAAGAAGCTCGGACGTCGTAACAGATTTATAGAAATATATAGAAAATTCTACTCCCTCCGTTTCACAATGTAAGTCATTCTAGCATTTCCCACATTCATATTGATGTACGGAGGAAGTAGCTTAAAATGATATGTATTTCATAAAAAGTTTTTCTTTTCCCATTTGCATGCAAATATGCAAATAGCCAATTTGTATGCACAAAAAGAAGCATAAGTAGATATTTGAGTTGCATACATGGACCTCTTCCCTTTTCGTTCGGATCGCTCTTCCATGGTGATCATGGTTCACCGTGAATACATGACGATCAACTGATATTTTCTCAGGAAGATAGAGTGTTCTACCATTTCATTACTGTAAGCCACAAATTGGTTAATTAACCGCTTTTACACATCATTAGTAATGTCCGTGTGTTGCAATTAGACAGAATCTGATGAACTTGGTTCAAATTTCTTGGTTTTTCTAGTGAACGTGGTTCAAATGTTCACTATTTTTTCTCCCATATTTTCTCTAGCTTTTATGAAACGTCTATTCTCTTAATTTTTTTATCTTGGTTTTCTGGAGCGGGTTTTCTTGTGGTTTTCCGGAACGGTTTTTTTTATCTTTTTTCTTTTTGTACGGTGTTTTAGGTGTTTTTTTTCTTAACGATTTTTCTCTCAGTTTGTTTGTATCCCTCTTTTTGGAGCGTTTTTTCTATCGGTCTATATGAATGGATTTTCTCACGGTTATTTTATATGTGGGAATTAATGGGTGAGAAGACAAGTAGGACGACTTTGATTTTAAGGTAGTAGAGATAAGGTGAAAAACAAAAGAAAAACACATCACCGAAGACATTGTTTTTCTACCCATCAATTGGCGCCATCCCATGATCGATTGATCATCACACAACAATCTTCGAAAAAACATAAGAAAGAACTTATCATCACAGCTATTATCATCAGGGTTTGCCATGTGCGGTGAAACGATGCCCTTCCTCCAGGCTCGCTTACGTGTTATATAGGCACGGGAAAAACCCTCGGCGTGGTGTTTACATCTCAACAGAATACATCCTTATCTCAAGTGTTTAGTTACAACAAACTCTAGCTAAGAAGATTCAGTTCTATCTATCCTAACAGAACCAATATTATCTAATACTCCCCCTCAATTGCAAATCTCCAATATTCAGATTATTACGAAACATTTGCAATTGCCGAACAGGAAGAGACTTGGTGAACCCATCTGCTACCTGATCTTGCGACGACACAAAGCGAATTTCCAATTTCTTTTGCGCCACTTGCTCTCTAACAAAGTGATAATCAACTTCAATATGCTTTGTTCTAGCATGAAACACTGGGTTAACTGACAAATATGTTGCCCCAATATTATCACACCATAGCTGTGATGGCTTAGGATGAGGAATTCCACATTACTTCAGCTGTTGCATTTGCCAAAGCTTTATATTCTGCTTCAGTACTAGACCTGGATACTGTAGCCTGTTTTCTAGCATTCCATGAGATCAAATTAGAACCTAGGAAGACTGCAAAACCCCCTGTAGACCTTCTGTCATCTAAATATCCTGCCCAGTCAGCATCAGAGAAGGCACTTACAACACTAGAAGGTGATTTCTCAATTTTGAGACCAAGTTTAACTGTTCCCTGCAAATATCTTAGTATTCTTTTAACTGCTGCCCAATGAACAACAAAAGGATTCTGTAGGAACTGACAGACCTTATTGATTGAGAATGATATATCTGGTCTTGTAAGTGTCAAGTATTGTAAAGCTACAACAATACTACGATACTGACTTGAATCATTTACTCCTAACTTTTCTCCTTCATGAGCCGACAGCTTCTCTACAGTGGAGAGTGGAGTACTTACAGGTTTGCATCCAGTCATACTGACTTGCTTAAGGATCTCATTTGCATACCTTTCCTGACTTAGCAGCAAGCCATCTCCATCTTTCTTTACTTCTATACCTAGAAAATAATGTAACTCACCAAGATCCTTAAGAGCAAAGTCCTTCTCTAGATTTTCAAGTAGAACTGTGACTGCCTGAGAACAAGAACTGGCAACAATAATATCATCAGCATAAACAAGTAGAAACATCACAAGACCTTTCTTGTTAAAGAAGAACAACGAAGTATCTGCCTTTGATGAGGTGAATCCTAACTCCTGCAGCCTCTTACTTAATCTGGAGTACCAAGCTCTAGGAGCTTGTTTAAGACCATACAATGCCTTATCAAGCTTGCAAAGATAGTGAGGCACCTTAGATTCCTCATATCCAGGAGGTTGTCGCATATACACATCCTCCTCAAGATATCCATGTAAAAAGGCATTCTGGACATCCAACTGTTGCAGGCTCCAGCCCTGTGAAACAGCTAAAGACAAAACAAGTCTAATAGTTGTTGCCTTAACTACAGGACTGAAGGTATCCTCATAGTCAATCCCATATCTCTGTTTAAACCCCTTAGCTACCAACCTAGCCTTATATCTATCTATTATACCATCTGCCTTCCTTTTTATCTTATAAACCCACTTACAGTCAATAACATTTGTTCCCTTCTGTGGTGGAACTAGATGCCAAGTTTTATTATGAACAAGAGCAGCAAATTCTTTATCCATAGCTATCTTCCAATTTTTATCATGCAGTGCTTCTTGTAAACTAGATGGTTCTTCAGTATCAGTTAAGCAAGCATATCTTACCGTCCCATCTGTATATTTCTTGGGTTTGTGAATTCCATGGTGCGCTCGTGTGATTGGACCTGGAATTGGCTGTGCTTCTGGCGTTGCCTCGGACTCGACTGCAGAGATGGTTGGAGTAGGCGATCCGGTAGCTGGCGTCGGTGTCGGGCCCGCATCTTGCAGAGACATGGTTGGCCCGAACGCATCTGAGTCGACGTGGCTCGGCGTGGTTGGTGGAGATGACGCCGCCGAGCCATGAGCCGCCGCATCCGCCTCGGGATCCACCTGACGCGACACCGAGTCAGCTGAATCAGCATTAGGATCGTCATCAGCGGTATAATGTTCGCCGGAACTAGCCAGATCGCAGTTCTGCATAAAATCATGGTTAATTGATGTGGATTCGCTATCATTAGCTGCGCTGTTTTCTCCGTTTGCTCCAGAATTTTGTCCTGCACTCTCACCACTGGAATCAGTAGGATTAGGATTATTAATTAGAGGTTGATCATGTACTACTGCACCCCCGTGATCAAGCATAATTGAAGGAAGGAGATTGGGAGTAAGAAGCTGGATTTCAGACTGAAGACGAGCACCAGCATTGGAATGCAACTGAGCAAAGGGGAAAACTTGTACATCAAACACAACATCACGAGAGATATATACCCGACCGGCAGCAATGTCCAAGCACTTAAACCCTTTGTGCATCGTGCTATACCCTAGGAAAGCACACTGTTTAGATCGGAAGGCAAGTTTGCGTGTGTTGTAGGGTCTAAGATTCGGCCAACAGGCACAGCCGAAGGTACGAAGCAGGAAGTAGTCGGGAGGAAGATTGAATAGGCGCTGGAGAGGAGTCTCATAAGACAGAACTCTGGTAGGGGTTCGATTTATGAGGTATGCAGCGGTGGTAAACGCCTCATCCCAGAATTTGAGTGGCATTGACGCATGAGCTAGCAAGGAAAGGCCAACTTCGACGATATGGTGATGGTTGCGCTCAACTGATCCGTTCTGCTGGTAAGCATAGGGGCAGGCGACATGATGTTCAATGCCAACATTGTTAAAGAAACTATTGAGGCGCTGAAATTCCCCTCCCCCAATCTGTTTGCATGGTTTTAATCTTCCTATTTAGGAGTTGTTCAACAAGGTTTTGGAAGGCCTAAAATTTCTCAAAAACTTTAGATTTGTGTTTCAGCAAGTAAACCCAAGTGAACTTGCTAAAGTCATCGATAAAACTAACATAATAACATTTATTGCCAACTGAACTAGGGGCAGGGCCCCATACATCTGAGAAAATAAGCTGCAAAGGTTCTAAAGAAATACTAACAGACTTAGGATAGGGTAATTGATGACTTTTGCTTTGCTGGCAAGCATCACAAATAGACTCACGACTAGAATCCCTAGTGACATGGAGATTATTTGTGCTAACAACTCGATCGACAATTGAAAAAGAAGGATGCCCTAGACGGCTATGCCACCGAGACAAAGACGGCTTGATGGCGCCATGGGCCTGCTTATCAGTTGGCAAGGGGTAGAGGCCGCTTTCACACCTGCCTCGAAGAAGTGGCCTCCTCGTGACCTGATCCTTTACCAAAAAGAAACAGGGGTGAAGTTCAACAAAGGCTCTATTATCTCTAGCAAAACAATGGGCAGACACAAGACTTTTATAAGCTTCAAGGACATGAAGAATGTTCTTGAGCCAGAGATCACGAGTGGGAGTGCAAATAGCAGTATGACCAACATAATCAATGTCCATACCTGAGCCGCTGGCAGCGTGGACCTGGTCGTTGCCATGGTACTTGTCCTTTATCGCCAGCTTCTCCATCTCGCTGGTAATGTGATCAGTGGCGGCACTGTCAATATACCAGTTTGTGTCGATGCTATAGGAGTTGTTGGTTGCAGCAGTGCTCGCAACCTTCTCTTCTCCTGTGAAAGAGGGATCAAACCTCTTCCAACACTTGGCCACCACGTGACCAATTTTGCCGCAAAGCTGGCAAGTGGGCTTGGGTTTGCCGTCACCACGGCCGCGCCTGAAACCGCCGCCGCGTCCGCCGTTGTTGCCGCCTTGTCCCCTGCCACCGCCACCACCGCCGCGCCCTCCTCGCGACACGGTGTTGGCAGAAGGGGAGGAGTTGTTCTGAAGCAGATCCAGGCGTGTCTCAAAGCCAACGAGCAAAGCATATAGCTCGCTGACTGAGATTGAATCTGCACGCCCAGCAACGGAGGAGACAACCGAGTTGTAGTCGAAGTCGAGGCCGACGAGGATGTAGGAGACGAGATCCTCCTCGTCCAGTGGATTCCTGCAGAAGACATCTCATCTGCTAAAGCTTTCATCTTACCCACATATTCAGCGACAGTTTTGTTCCCTTTCTTGGTGGTGGAGAGCGCCATGCGGGTGTTGATGACGCGAGCTCGAGACTGCGACGCAAAGAGGCTTTCAATGGCCTCCCAGACTTCTGTGGCCTTGCCGAGCGTGGCCACCTGGGTGAGGACGTCGCGAGAGAGCGACGACAGCAAGTAACTCAGGACTTGTTGTTCCTGCGCAACCCATTGCGCAAGAGCAGGATTTGCCACCTTCTCAGTGGTCTTCCCATCGTCCTTGGTGATGACGATGGTGGCTTCAGGCGCCTTGTTGCTCCCGTCAAGGAAGCCCGCCATCTGAGCGCCGCGCAACGTCGCTAGGACCTGCGCCTTCCAGAGCACGAAGTTGCTCTTCGTCAGCTTCTCAGAGACTGATTGCCCATGGAGAGCAAATGGAATGGAGCTGGACGAAGATGCCATTGATTTCGGAGAGATTGGATGCGATGGAGGGTGGAGGCTCTGATACCATGTGCGGTGAAACGATGCCCTTCCTCTAGGCTCGCTTACGTGTTATATAGGCACGGGAAAAACCCCCGGCGTGGTGTTTACATCTCAACAGAATACATCCTTATCTCAAGTGTTTAGTTACAACAAACTCCTAAGAAGATTCGGTTCTATCTATCCTAATAGAACCAATATTATCTAACATGCCAAACTACTGGGGCCGGGGTTACCGTGCCCCAGCGGTAAGCATGGTTACCGCATGGTAACCGTGGCAAACCGTAAAAAGTTTATCAAAATTTTAAATTATTTTTTAAATTTATTTAAATTTAAGGAGCTAGGTTACCGCGGTTTTCCTTATACCATACTCTCTCCGTTAAAAAAAAACTAACCGTGGAGGGGTGCTCCTAGGTTGGCTTTTTTTTGGATGGAGGAAGTACTCCCGCGGTAAGCGCGGTAACCGGTGGTTTGAGGAACCCTGATCATCATAACTAGTCAAAGAAGCCTATTCGAGCAGAAATGATCGATATACTCCGACAATCCTACTCACACTCGACACTGTCACTGTGCAAGAGACATGGATTTAACACCGGGCAACGCTTGAGCTTGAGAGACGGCTAGTATGAGCTAGCTGAGAAGACCGATGGTGTCATGTCCGTCGTGCAACACGTAACAGTGACGATAGCAACTGGATGATCCTCTCCATCGATCGCTAGTCACCTATCTATAGCTAGGCCAGCCATGGGCTAGCTGCTGAGAAACAAAGTAAAGTAGGGTCCCGTGTCTCCCAGTCGAGTTGATCGATCGATCGGCCATTCCTCGCAAATGTGTGTATACGATGCCATTCAAGTTCGCAAGGCGCATCATGTCTCTGATCCACTGATTATGCTTACGCGATCGATCGCTAATTCGCTAGCCAAGCCACCAGGGCGCGCACGCACCGGCCAGCCACCCTCGCGGGCGCGGCATCTCCTTGGCGTCGGCGTGCGTGCATGCAATTACACGCAAGGAAGTTAACGTACAGAAAAAACACATCGGTCGATCGGTACGAGCCGGGCGCATGTGGTGAGGCCGGCCCGGCGCTCGTACGTTCGCTCGTCGGGCGAGACTACCGTGAGTGCGTGCGTGACAGATCAGCGCGGCCCCGCCCTAGCTATAGCTAGCCCTTTTCACGCACGGTACGGCTGAGTCGACGTTGGATCGATCGATGGTCCCGGGCGCGGGCCGGCCTACCGGCCGGCACGGCACGGCAGCGGTGTCCGGTGTGTGGGCGTGTTAGTACGTACGGTACTCCGCCTAGCTCGTGCATGCGCGCGCGGCGCTCTCTGGTTGCTCTGCTTTTTGACGTACGGGCGTGTGTTTTGCAGTACACGAGTTGACTACGGCCCGTGACGATGCGTCGATCGGGTTTGGATGTCCAAGAGACCATTCTGCTCAGTGCAAATGTCAGGCTCCCAATGTGTCCTCTGCCATCAATCAATCCCAAATACAATCGATCTTTCGTGCCCACCTCTCAGCCTCTATTTCTAGTAAAGGTGAGTTTAGCTCACGCTAAAATTGAAAGTATGATTGAAATTAAAACGATGTGACGGAAAAGTTGGAAGTTTATGTGTGTAGAAAAGTTTTGATGTGATGAAAAGTTGAAAGTTTGAAGAAAAAGTTTGGAACTAAACTCGGCCTAAGATATCATAACATCCATCCTAACCGCGAAAATAAAGAGAAGATGTGATTATCATATAGTGCTCCTTTCGCTGATTGGATTTGACAGCATCATGCTTGTTCTACAGCAAAGGAGGGATTTCTATTTGAGCGAGCAATGTGATGTTTTTTTACTTTGGAAGAAGGTCAGCCACACGGAAAATCGTTGGTACAGTTGATCTAGAAATGTCTGAATTTGGAGGGCGCTAATGATGATGCACGAATGCACGGTAATGTTGGAGATTTGGATGCACAATTCTACAGCTAATCCTGCTGAGTTCTCCCTTCTAGATTTGTGCAGATCAAACATATTACAGCCCTTGACCTTTCCAGTAGAAGCAGCCTTTTTAGTCCAGGCTGGGCTCTGGACGGACCATAGACAAGTCTAACTTTAATTTCGGGCCAAAATTGACTAACGAAGCCCCGCTCAACAAGCTTAGGTCTTCGTTGAAGGAATTAGTTTTAGATCTTTCATCTTATCGTCAAATTTAAATCTTGTTCTTAAATCATAATAGCAGATATAGAGTACCCCGGACTATTAAAGTCAGATCAATTTACGTACATAAGTTGTTTTGATGGTGGTTTTATTCCACGTGGCATTTTAGTTATGAAAAATAAATTTTAAAGTGGTGGAGCCCATGTATCGGTGACACATCCCTCCTCTCTTCTCCCTCTCTACTTCTCTCACTCTCCTTGCCATTTCTTGATTCCACTATCGACAACCAGCCGAGCGGGGTGAGTGACGACAAAGGGTCCTCGCGACATCGGCGACGGCCCGAACGGAGCTACCCGGCAGCACGTGGTTAGGGTGGGAACCATTGGGGTACCTGTGGTCACGCATGGTGAAGAAGTACTAGTCTCGTTAGCCGATCATCGTCTGGGCAATGATGGGGAAAGGGGCCGGGTAGCCAGCGGTGCATACGTAGAGATAGGGCACCACCAACTTCTCATCCGTCGGGTGGGAGTGGAACCTCGGCAACAGATTCAACACCTCTCCTAGCGACAGAACAATGTCTCGACGATGAGTATGGGGGTTGGGATGTTGGAGGTGCACGTATAGAGGAAGTGCGCCGCTAGCTCCTCATCTGTTGAGTGGAAGCGGAACCTCGGCGACAGGTTCAGCTCCGCCCCTGCGTCACGCCCCTGCTGCGCCACGCTCTCGGCTCCCAACAGAAGTAGCCGACCAGTTGACAAATCTAGGCATCAAGCAGTGGAGACCAGGCGGAGAGGTCGGGCTAAGGAGGTAGCAGAGGCAGTCCGGCTGGATGACCACAGGTGGAGCTACTCCTTGCAAGGCTCCGCCCGAATGTCGTAGTGTTTGACTTTGCAACACCATTGGGCATTGGTTGCCAACGTTGCCAGGCTGTTCGGTGTCAACGCGGTGCCATGTTCTCTATCTTTGCCACTTTCGAGGACCTCGCGTCAGCGCCTGTGGATGGGAAAGCTGGAGAGGACGGTGACTTAGGGTGTGTTTGGTTCACGGTCAAGTTAGGATGGGATATGGTGATCCATATTTTGCTGGATATGGTGATCCAATTTTCTGTTTGGTGGAGTGGATATGGCGATCCAGTTTTTTGTTTGGTTGTAGGGATAAAGGTGAATTTGGTGATCCAATTTTCTGTTTGGTTGGATGGAGGAGGTTGGATTTGTAGGTGTGGTCACCTCTCACTTGAGATAGTGAATATACCCCCATCAAATTAATGCATAATGCATTTTATAAATTCTCTAGCAATTTTACACCGCTACCTTTCCATATTATAAATACACATAGAAAAAAAAAGAAAAAAGAAAAAGAAAAAAAGAAAAAAGCATTAGATCTGGGGCTCCTCCTCCTCACTGCCGCCGCCGCCGCCTCCTCCCGCCGGCGGCCGCTGCTCGCCTCCTCCCGTCGGCCGTCTCCTCCCGCCGGCTGCAGGCGCCACCGCCTCCCGCCGACGCGGCTCTCAGCGCCCGCACCGTCGTCGTTGCCGTTGTCGGGTCCGCATCGTCATCGTCACCGGCAGGCGTCTCCGAGCTCGCGCCTCCTCCCGCCGGCGGCCGCCTCCTCCCGCTGGCCACCTCCTCCCGCCAGCCGCCGCCTCCCGTCGACGCGGCTATTGCCTCCCGCATCGTCGTCGTCGTCGGGTTCGCATCGTCGTCGTCGCCAGTTCGCATCGTCGTCTCCGCCAACGTCTCCGAGCTCGTCGCTATCGTCCCTCTTCCCGTTGCCGCGCCAGCGCCGGCCACTGCGCCCGTATAACGCGCCGGCCCACTCGCCCGGGCGACCGCCTCCCTCCCTCGCTCGCCCGGGCGCTCAGGCGGCTGGATCCGGGCAAATCGGCCGGATCCCCCCATCCAGCATCTGGGGGAATATTCCTCCCCGAGCCGCCCCATCCCACCCCTGCCCAGCAACCAAACACCTACAAAAAAAATAGGCGGCCATGTCCTATCCACCCATATCCCTCCATCCAAACACACCCTTAGAGAACCTGGCAGCGGTTCTTCCTCCTGTCCGATGGTTCTGGCGAGTTCAAAGTCACCTTCACACCCGAAGTAGGGGGCTTGCTTTTGTCAATGTTGTCGAGCTGTTCCCTACTCTGTAGGAGCTTCTATGGAAGAACGACTTGACGTCTCCATCCATCCGTGTGGTTTCTCACCTTATCGATGCTCGGTGCGGCCGAGAGATCGTTGCCGTCGACACCTAGTGTACATTCAGCAGCGTGCATGACTATGGTGGGATGCGGTACACCGCTGACAGACCTGCTATCACCATTGGCTAGCTCTGTCCCGACCACCGCTAGCATCGCGTGGCCCCTCCGCCGTTGCTTGCCCCACTACAGGCTGCTGTCGGAGTGAAATCAAGAAAAAGCAGATGAAGGATACAGAGAAACAAAGATGAGGGAGAAGAGAGGAGAGGGACATGTCACTGACATGTGGGGTCCACTACTTCTTAATTTATTTTTTCTAACTGAAATGCCACATAGGTGGCCATTTAGGATGAAACAACCATCAAAACCACTAATGGACATAAATTGATATGGTTTTAATAGTTCATGGTACTGCATATATGGTATTGCGGTTTAAGGATACGATTTAACATCAAAATGAGAGAACTAAAGTGAATTTATTACTTAGTTAAATGGGCAGAAAACATGGCATATCTGTGTGTGGGCTAATATTTTATAGTTTAATTATACGCGGATGGATTGAAATGTTATTAAGTCCTTTATAATGTGGTGAAAAAGTGAGTAGCAATATAAAACAAAAAAAATAGTGAGTAGTCTGTGCGACAAAATGTCAAAGCCAAGTCGGAGAGATACCTTCAAAATGTCAAAACCAAGCCCCTGTGCCACAACGCCGGAGGGATACAGGTTATATTACCATGTGCGTGATGAATTTGCAGTTAGGTTTGTCTATCACGTGCATACCGTGGTGGTGAAAGTTTGTCATGGAATCACAATCTATCGAGTGAATGCATGCTACCAAAAAAGTAAATGGGAAAATAAAAGAAAAAGTAAAGCAATATGCCACCGCTCAATAATGAGCTTTGTTTTGATTTGTCATCGAGAGCATATGCACGCTTTTTGGGTTTCTCCACGAGACTGGGACTCCATCGTAAACAACATATTTACAAACAGAAAATAATTTATAAATAAAACTTTTATAAACATATTATTTGTGTTTTAAAAGCAAAGGCTAAAAAATAACTACGATGAAAAAATCTTAAAAATCAACTCTAAATTTAAACTAAATTTAAGGTTTAAAATTCAAATTTTAGCTTATAAGTATAAACATAAGCCACTGCACGATATTCATAGTGAGTCACATGTAGCATGAAAGTTTTTTGTATTTTTAGAGTGATGTCAATATTCTTCCTCATCTAGCATATAATAAGTACTATCTCCATTTTTTTTAAAAAAAAATAAAGTGAGATACAATTAGTAAGAAAGTAGGTATAACTAAATGAGGGAATGCTTGATTGAATGGGAAATGAAGGTAGGTGAAAAAATTGATAATAAATAATCATGTTTGAACGAGAAGAGAATGTTGATGCAGAAACTGTTATATTTTAAGACAAATTCAGAAGGCTAAAAGTTATTATATTTTAAAACTGATGGAATAAGAGAAAGGTTATAGTCCATTGAGTGATATTCCAGTCATATCCTCTTGGTGTACTACTCCGTCCCAAAAAAGACAAACTCTAGCCATGAACTTGGACATATACGTAGCTAGGATTGTTTTTTTGTGAGGGGTAGAACGTAGAGGCAGTTCATGCCGATTTGTACGAGGGATGAGATTAACTATTCCCTTTTCTTCATCTACTCCCTCTGTCCTATAATATAAGGGACTTTGGGTAGATGTGATACATCTTAGTTCAATGAATCTGGACAAATCATGTATCATATCCATCTAAAATCTCTTATATTATGGGACGGTGGGAGTAGATGTTAGGGGTGAGAACTGAGAAGTGATGGTGCTGAGCAAGAAATGATGATGGTTCCAAAATTCGAGCCTGAGACAAACTTAGAAAATCTCAGCACCTATCTCAGTCTCAATGAGGGCAGCTAGCAATATTATGTGGTGATTTTGATATATATATCAGATGATGAAAGATGACTCTATTGACGAAAGTGTATGACGGTGTTACACCAAGAGCTTCTATCCCAATCTGATTTTCTCTCTCGTACATCATGTCAACACAAGAGGATTTTTAATTAATTTTTAATCATTTTCTGTTGTTTAAAAGTAGATAGGTGCATGCTTGGATCGCAAAACAGTTCTTTGTTTCGCCTTGCACCTGAAGATCATTTGACAGAAACCCAACATAACCATGGAAGTTCTACTAACTTTTGGTGAACAAAACCAAAACAGAGCAGCAGCTGGCTCAGAACCTGCTCATCCAATGCTCCTTTTGGGTGTTTAGCGAGTTGATGCCGGTGGTCCCCACGCACCACTGTAACCAAGTGCAATTCCCCCATCAGTTCATGGGCCCCCATACATTAAACTCGGTCCAAAAAGTTCCAAAGTCCAAACTCCTAACCGGGGCCCACGTCCGAGGGTGCTTTGCTTTCGCGGGCGTGACAGCACGGCTCGAAGTCACTTTCCCCACTCACAGAATCACAACTTCCCACCCCCACCACGCCATATCTCCAGCCTTCAATGAACCAATTCACCGAAGCGACGCTCTCCGTACCTCCACTGACATGCGGGCCATGCCTCGTGTAGGGCCCATATCTCAGTGGGTGATATGACTGGGTTCCTGCGTGGAAAGCGTCTCGCTCGCCCGAGCGGATACGATTGCGCGGCTGCGCCCCCCGCTAACGACAAGCGGCAATCTCTTTGGCCGCGGCACCCCGTCACCGACGGGTGGTCCCGGCTCCGGAACGGCGTGAGGAGAATGGGCGGAGATCAGAAGTACGGCCACGTCAGAACAAGCAGAGAAAGGCCCCCAGGTCACTGCGTGGTGGATCCCACCGTGGCGCCACCCTATTGGGCCCTACTCTTCAGCGTGACGTGGATGGGGCGCGTAATATGTGTTTCGGCGGTAGTAGTAGGTTCTAGATTATTTAAGGCCCCTCGGCTGCTATCTCTATCTATCTACACGACGCGAGAGAAAAAAAAAATCTGGCTCCCGAGAAGAAAACAAAAGGGTAAAAAGAGCAGAGCAAAAGCTCTCTTCAGTTCTCCACGCCCAAGGGCAGAAGAGAGGGAGGGAGAGAAGGGGGGGAGACGAAGGAAGCACGAAACCCTAATCCCGAGGCAGCGCGCCTCTCCGATCAACTCCGGCGTGAGTCCTCTAACCGCTCTCCATCCCCGATCGCTCGCTCGCTCGCGCCGCTCGGTGCTTCAATCCGGCTAGGGCTTGCGGCCGTCGCAATGTGGGGGGTTTTTCCGTGCGATTTTTGGTCAAATTGCGGGTGGTGTTTGGTGGTTTTTGTGGACTCTGGTGGGTGGGATTAGTGTTTCGAACTTCGAAGTGTACGGGGTTGGGATTATACTAGGGCTTTGGTTTAGGCGGAGGTTTTGGTGGATAATTTCTGAAAATTTTCAGTGGTTTGGGTAGTTTTTGCTGGTAAATGGCGGCTGGTTGTTGCGATTGCTGGTGGGTTTTGATCACGATGAAATGTGGCATGTTACCATATGGCGTTTTTGGTTGGTTGGATTTTTATTTTGTGTATTATTGAAGGGGTCGGTTTTAATGGAGAAATTTCACGTTTAGCAGTTTAGTCTTATGTGAAGTGACTAATCGTCGGTTTTGCTTTACCCGTAGTTTGTTGTCTCCCACAAAAAAATTGCTTCGATGTTGTGGGGTTTTGGTACTATGACGTTTGGGTTTTAGTGGCAGTTATCACAACCATTCTGTGCGTATCCTTCTACGTCAGGGTGGGTTTTATTGCGAAATGATGGCGACTTCTCTTAATTTATTAGATTAATTTGTTTTATTTGTAAAACATCCACTATTACCGGATAAGAGAGCATTAGATTATATAAATTCCGTTCGAGGTGTAGTTTTGCTGCATGCACCTCGTGGACTTGCGGATTTGCATGTAGAACCCTGATTAAGAGATTGATTAGCTTTGTGCATTGTTTGTTATATCATTCTCACCATTATGTGGTAATCAAGAAATTTGATTACCATTGGATGGGACATGTTAGTAATTGCAACACTCATGGTCAAATTGTCTTCACCAACACATTTATAACATGCTGTATATCAAGATGCATGGTAATTTTGTAGCTTTGATTATCTTTGCTTTGGTTGTCTCGAGTTAAGATACTGCAGCCAGTAGGGTTTTACCTCCCTTCATAGTTTTTCCAATAATATTTATTTACTTTCTGATAGACTGACATGCTTGTTTACATTTGTTACTCCAATTTATATGTGAAGATATTATCTAAAGATAATTTTGTTTTAGAATTTTCTTAGCATGATGCGTGATATTTGTTTAGAGCCTTGACTGTGCCTTTATTCTTTTGTGTACAACTTCTTGCAAACCACTGCGACATTCTAGACTTGATATTTTTATGAACAGGGCATGCCATGCAATATGTAATACCCCAATACTCAACCAAACCAACTACCCTAGCTTATCCCGGCATAATTTGTTTCTCGATCTTTTGTAAATTACATAGTAAGCTTCTCTGCTTCTGTATGGCTGTATGAGAATTGAGAACTTTTTGGAGAGATGCCAAACGCCAATGCACTTCAGAGTACAGGCCATACATATGAGTTGAAGAATAGTTTAAGTGTATTTGTAATTTCCGAGTATGAATGAACTAAATGCGGGTTAACTGTGAAACTAATTAACATAGTTGGAAAAAAATGGTAAATTAGAAATCGTGCAAGTGCTGATACTACTATTGCTTACTATGCAGTCACTTTTTTGGACTTTTACTAGATTTCCTTTTGGGGCTTGATTTTAGCAAAAAATTGATCATCACCTTGATTACATCTGACACTGATCTTCGTGGAAAAGATATCCTGGTATGATCTTTATGGATCAGGAACAATGTCATTTTTAAGGCATGCTTTGCAGCTCATCGAGTCATTTTGTTGGGAACAAAATGCAGTGTTGTTTAATCGGTTTCGATATTTCTATATCAAGTGATTTGCATTTTTTTCTGTGATGAATATCTTGCATCAGTGTACAGGTGTAACCTGGTGGCCTTAGCCTAATCTTTGTGATAACATTTTTCACTTGATAATTGGTAATAATATTTTCCCCCTTTTCAGCTTCCCTGCTTTCTAAGTATCAGTTGGAGCTACCATGACGACCCAAGCTAAAGAAAAATGCCCACTTTGCACAGAGGAGATGGATTTGACAGATAAACAGCTGAAGCCGTGTAAATGTGGATATGAGGTGAAAATTCAATGCTTGAGCACCAATTTGTAGTTCATCTGATGTGCTTCCTTTTTTCCCTTGGATATCATGCTTTATATGCTTGTGATAAATACCTAACGGCGAGAGACATCTTTAGTCTGTTGTTCTTCAAATGCTTAAAGAGTCGAAGTTCATTTGCTTGTAGATTATTTATTTTGGTGAAATTGAGCAACTCTTATCTCTGGATGCATGTCCTTTCTTCAATTAGAGGTTTTTTTTTTTTCTGAATGAAAGGTTAATGACCTTGAAGTATTAGTGCAGTTTGTTTCAGACATTATATATCATAGTAAAATTGTAAAACACAATGTAATCGCGCTAACATTTTTAGTTTCTTTCAGGACATCATCATTAAAGATCTAACATCAATGTAAAAGTACCTAAGATTTTTTTCAGTTTCTTTCAGCATATCATCATTCAGTTAGGTTATTAGCCAAAAGTCCTTAGAACTGTCAAAACTATAGAGATGCTGCACGCAACATGAAATATACGAATTGTATCCACTTGCTTCCTTTAAAAATAACATAGTGGTAGTGGTGAATCTGCCATTACCACCTCCACGCTACATTTCATACAAATTGCTCTCTGAATTTCTTTAAAAGTGCAGAATAGACCTTCCATGTTGTTTGACTTTCTAAAAGCGCAATTAACATGGAAAGATCTTACATGACCATATTTTCATGTATATATATATATATATAGTATTTATGAATTAATTTTACAACTAGTGTGTGTAACACTGTTAAATGCCCCTTTAAAAACACAAGTGAAGGACATGTTAACTGACATTTATTTGACATGTAGGATTGAATTTAATTTTTAGCAAATGCACAGGCATTTGGGTAATGCAACTATCAAATGCAATAAATTTCAGATAGTTATTGTCCATATTTTGGTAAATTAAATGCATGGTCTGTTAATTTTGTATATTGCCTTATGTATTTGGTGTATTTGCATGCTGCAGATTCTATAAAATATGCACATTTGTGGCTTGGTTAATTTCTTCTGTTGTGAATCTTATGTATTAACAAAATATGTGTGTTTATAATTTTCTGGCAGATTTGTCTTTGGTGTTGGCATCAGATAATGGAAATGGATCAGAAGGAAGAATGTGGCGGGAGATGCCCCGCGTGTCGTTCTATCTACAACAAGGACAGGATCATGGGAACAAGCATCAGCAACCAAATGCACGTGCATTAACTTATCCTACTATTTCCTGTCCACTTCTGCTGTTATATGCAATTTGTATCTCGTAGAAAAGAAACTGATTTGGAATCCTTCTTATGATAGTATATATAGGATGGCTTCTTAATTTTTCTAATTTATGGAGCTTACCAGTGAAGTAATTACTGTGCCCTTTCTAATGGCAGATTAAAGGAACTTTGTGCTGACAAATCAAACTTTCAAAAAGAACAAGCCAAGTCTCAAAAGCAGAAACCAGTAAAAGTTCAGTCAGGAGTGACAGAAGAATCAATAGACCCATATAGTGTTCGTGTGATTCAACGCAGGCTTGTTTATATTGTTGGGATGCCTTCTGAATTCGCGAGTGACAAGGTAAGAATGTTTAGTCCTGTGAAAGCTTTAATATAAGATTATAACTATGATTCCCATATCTATCGGTTAGATGAAACAAATGCCAACCAAACCCTGTTCATGCAGGTGCTGAGGCAGCATAATTTTCTTGGGCAATATGGAAAAATAGAAAGTATTATTATCGACAATATTGGAGCTAACCAACAGATTCCTGACTCTGGCCGTGTGTAAGTTTTTGGTAGTAAATGCATTTATGCTTTTTACTTATTATATTATTTTTTTGAGCAAACTACAGTTACGGAGGCCCCCACGTATATTAATTTTCAGAAGTTTATGATTTTTACTTATTTATATTAGTGCGGGAACAAGTGAAACAGGTCCAGTTCTTGAATTAGATACCTTTCTTGGACATCAATTAAACCTAGAAATCATCCACATTGCCACAATATGTGGTAGGCACCTTTGCATGAAGTGCCTGCATTATTCAACTTTTATCCCATATACCTTGCAGATTTCATTGTCCAAGCCACAATCCACCTCTATATGTACTGCTGCAATATGGCCCAATAGCATATGCTGTGGATCTCTAGTTTTTGGTTGCCCTATTTTAATTGTAGCTACTGCTACTATATTAACCCCAGCAGATCTAACTGTCAATAAACTGAATGACTATACTCCCTCCATCCCAAAGTATTAAGGCATGGTCAAACTTGGCATGGTCTCGGAAACTAGTCTTCCGACTTTTAATTTCGCATATACTACAGTGCTTGTAGCAACAAAATCATAGCCATAGGAAATATATTCAAATGTTGATCCAATGATATTATTTTCATTATATAAAATTTAATTTACATTGGCCTAATCGTGCACGTCTTATATTTTGGGATGGAGAGAGTAATTTTTTTTTGGTTGAGATGTTGTTATTTTATGTAATCCTTTGGTTCTATCCCTATAGATATGTTACCTTTTCAAGGGAGGAAGAAGCTTTTCGGTGCATTGAGGCAGTTAATGGTTTCATCTTGGATGGTAGACCTCTAAAGTAAGTCTGGTCACAGAACACACGACAGTTTGACTTGAAGGAACAACCATCTCTGTCTTGCCTTCTATGCAGCGTATGCCTTACCTTTTTTTATATGCTGATCATGTAGGGCAACTTTTGGCGTTACAAGATATTGTCATGTATGGCTAAGCAATAAGGTGGTTTATACAAATTTAATACTTCAGTTCCTGCAAATTCTTATTTTGTCTGCTTTGTACTTAACTTCCCTGTGTTGTGTCCCAGGTTTGCCGAAAGCCAATCTGTTCGTACGTGCATCAAAAAGCCCCACCAGAAGATATTTGTACGAAGGACGATGTCGCTGTGTACTGTGCAAGGTGCATATTGCTAATGCATTTTTTGATAGGCATGTGGAATTTGATTTATTTCATGGTCATTTGTCATTTGTCAAAATTGTTTTTCTTTATTGGACGCTGAATTAGTCATGATTGTTGAAAAGTCTGTCTGGCTAATTTATTGACATTGCATTCACCGGGCATCTAAAGATTCTGATGTATATTATGCTTGGGTTGTTTTTACATTGCACATGCAAACACCCACTTGAAATGTGTGGATATTCTTAATTCTTAAATACAAGGGTTATATGGTTTTGAAATTGCAGTACATGTACATCTCTAGAATCTTGAGTATCCAAAAGAAGTAGATGTTACAAAGTTATAATTGAAATAGCGTCTTTTATGTTTGGTTCTATGAATCCCATTCATCCAAAGCAATGAGAATAAAAATTAACAAGGTATTTTGCAGCTTCTTGTTTTCTCTTTACTGTGTACATTTGAGGACGTTTCTTTAGCTTCTACTGATGTGGCAATTTCATAGTGTGGTTCTTGAATTTCTTCATTCGCCACCTTTTTGAATGAGCAGCACGTGTTGTCTGACTCATTTCCTATTTCCTTGTACTCCTACACTATTTTTTGTCTCATTAGTTACTGCCGACACATCTATAGATATTTTTTTGAACAAACACTTCAAATATTAAAGTTGAAGAACCGTATCTAAAGCATATATTTTACTCATTTGTATTCTGGCATTGTGCAATTTGGGGCCAACTGAATTTATGGGTAGCTAACATCACCAGTCCAACAACTAGCGGATTAGCTGCTCTGCCCCTGTCTTGTGAAATCAATCTTAGGAGAGCTGTGTTGCATTAAGTGTTTCTGATGCATAAGGTAACATGTGGACTCTCTCAAGTTTGCTATATTTTGAGAATCCGTTCACTGGCTTGCCAATCCCTCAAGTTGCTGCTACTTGACCTGGTTTTTTTGTTAAGTACTCCCTCCGTTTCACAATGTAAGTCATTCTAGCATTTCCTACATTCATATTGATATTAATGAATCTAGATAGATATATATGTCTAGATTCATTAACATCAATATGAATGTGGGAAATGCTAGAATGACTTACATTGTGAAACGGAGGAAGTAGATGTTATTGTCTTCTTCTGAATAAAACATAGTTTTTTCCCTTTCATTTTGGTTAACTTGTCCAAAGTGCATTTCATTATGTTCCATGTTTAGTTGATGGTCGTTTTATTAATTAGCTTGTTAATGTTCCATGTGTAGATCTATCATGCCATATACCTGCATTTCATTTTGTTGAAAACTGTATTTCATCATTTTTTTTTCTTTTTCCTTTGTGGAGATAAGGCTTCAGCATTTGTTGGGAATGGATACAAAGGGTCTCCGTTCAGGAAATACTTTGCCCCCTCCTGGTGACTGTGTATCAAGAACTACCGTTTGTAATGGAAACTCCAAAGATAAGGTAACAGCTTAATTTTGAGTGAAGTAACATAGAGTATTTGCCTGTGCTTTGCCTGTGTCTAGTTTGGTAGTGTAATTATAATGGAAAAATCTGGTGTCGCATGCATGGGTTTCTGGCCCAGCATTGTTCTAACAGTCAATACTTGCATGTGAAGACCTGCAGCGATGATTATGGAGTACTACACAATCACGGTAACAAGAATCTTGGCACGCTGCCAGCTACAACTCTTCAAGAAGAGAAGAAACGTAATAGCACACCTAATAATCAGCAAGGATTGTCTGCCTCCGTGTCTCAGGAATTACCACCGCTTGGACCAAAGGTTCACCATCTCAATGATCAGTTGGCTTCCTGTGGTGATAAGCCCCAAGCATCTGTGCAGTCAGCAAATGGCAATTTGAATTCTAAGCAAGTAACTGCAGCAGGAAATGGAACGGTGGGCACCTTATCAGCAAAACAATATGTTAATGTAGTTTCACAAGGATCAAGTGGTTCAGGTCGCAGATTTACTGTACTTACTAGGCAGACGGCTTCTAGTGATACTCGGTCTAAAGCAACAGGACAAGTCGGTAATGCCTCTTCAGATTCCCAGAAGCTTACTTCGGCAAACAATGAGCACAGTGACAGAATTAAAATTTCTAGGAGTGATAATGTAAAGTTAGTTTCGCAGAGACCAGAGGAACCTTCCCAAATGCTAGCTAATCATTTGACCGGAGCAATTGATAAGACCCACGTTGATACAGATGAAAAGAATGCTCGCTCAGATATAAATGAAAAAACAGTTTGTGGTATTCAGATGCAGCTTAAAGAAAGCACTGCAGCACACAGATCAACTGTGCTGCAGAGTTTGAGGGACAATCCTATGTCCAATAATCTTCCAACATTGGATGTCAAATCTCAGATATCAGTTGTGCCAGACAAGCCTTCAGATTCACAGTCAGCATCTAAAACTCAATTGCAGCCCTCAAATCATAAAAAAACTGCTGTTTGTAGTTCAGATACAGCCAATGCAAGTGATGCATGTGGCATCGCTAATAATCAGGTGCTGTTCCCTGGTGGTAAACATCAAACTTCATCACAAGGGGAGGATCACAGCTTGTACAAGAGGGATAAGAGTCAGTCAGGAGATCAACTTTCATCTCAGCATCCTGGGAATGTTTTCTCACCAAGACTACTCACTTCACTGTCATCCATTGATATAACTGCCAAGGAAAATAAAGGAATTAAAAGGCACGTTTGTCCTCCTGGATTTGAGGAGCTTCACAGGCCGTCTGATTCTGACAAGATTACATCAGTAAGCTCCCCAACTTCTTCTATTATGTGCTCTGGACCTGATACCCTGGTACAAGATTCATGCTCTGCTAAAGATCAGCCAGACTTCATTAGCTGGGTTTCAGAGTGCCTAGAAGATGGTGGAGAAACTACACAAAGTAATAGGAGCATACCTTCTACTCTCAGTTCCACAGATGCCACTTGGAGATACATGCAGTATCCTGCCTCCTGTTTTTCTGGTGCATCAAATCACTTTCTAGTATCACCGTACCCTAGAGGATTGTCACAGCACACGGTGGGTCGGATTGAAAATACCATGAATTGCTGCTGTTCCCATCCATCTGTCAGTGGCATAGCAAATCACAAGCCTGAATACTGGAGTGGAAGTGACCATAGCTACATGTCTACTGGGGGATATGATGTATTCAGTCAAAGTGCAACATTAGGCATGATAGCTGGTATGGTAGGCACATCGCCCCAACAACCTTCGCCACCTGTTCATTACAATGACTGGACCACGGGAAGTGCTGATTCAGATTTGAAGAGTCCACAGGTTGATCATACATACCCCATGTACTCGCTGTTCTGACGACCTGGCGGAGTTTGCCTTCGCAACCCCTAACAATAGATGTACAAGTAAAATGCATACCTGCTAATCTAGCTTGCAAAATGGTGGGTGGTAGCGACATTGGCAACGAAAATGCTTCGTCTGCTGAAGCTTGTAAAGACCAAATGTGGAGCTTCATGTACAAAAATTAGAGTACTTGTGAACATTTGGTCATGGAACAATCCGTTGTAGTGCGTTGCCATTGCTGTACAGATGGCCTCCATTTCTTACATCTTGATGTCCTTGTTCTTGTGTTTCTAAGTACTTCCTCCGTTTCACAATGTAAGTCATTTTAGCATTTTTCACATTCATATTGATGTTACCAATATGAATGTGAAAAATGCTAGAATGTCTTACACTAGAGTGCATAGAGCATGCTTATCTGGTTTTCGATGCGTCTCTAGAAATTGGACGAAAAGGCTAACCATCAGTGAATGTGAGAAATTGCAACACCGAGATGCAAAAATTTAATTTGTAAACACAGACTTACATGTAAATGCTCCTTGATGGTCTAGTGCTTATCTAAGCGAAAAAATAGTGCTTAAGCTTAACAAGCACTTCGAGCGCCCCATTACACTTTGATCCCATCAATACAACATTTTGGCCATAAGAATACAGCATATTGCCTTTGTTTTTTAATGTATGATGTAATTGATATTTTATTTCTTTGACTATTCATCTTTCTGAAAAATGTTTTCACAAAGAAAAACATATAAATAGGGACAAATCTATCATGTAATGGTGGATGCTCGAGACTCCACTACTGGTGCAAGGACCATGGACGCTTTGGCTCCGCTCACGTCCTTGGAGATAGGGGCTCAACAAGGTTGCACTGCCACCGAGCTCCACGCCCAGTTGCCCGTCGCCAATCGTGCCACGCTGCCCCAAATTAAATCTGAGCGACAAGCGAGGTAGTGGCGGCGGTGACTGAGCTAGGCCATAGAGGAGCAGCCAATCCCCTCTCCTTCCACCTCCCCCTTTCTTATTCCCCTCCCCTATCTCTCACCAAGAGAGCTCACTTTCACTTGTTCTTAGAATTGGATAGAGGAGGCGGCGGCACTCGGGGAGGCAGGTGCTCGAGGAGGTGGTGGTGGTTTAGAAGATGGAGGACGCGTTATACCCGGTTTTGTGATTGAGAGAGACGATTCAATCATAGGCAAGAGATGAGGAAGGTAAGATAGACTTGTTCCCTGCAGCATGTGGGCCAAAGTTGGGCCTTCTTTTGCTTCCTTTGTTTCTGTTGCTGTTGCAAGCGAGCCAAATCAGTAGCTCGTGCTGGTCTCGCTAATGAGCAAACCTTATTAATCATCATACTCATTCCCTTCATCATATTATAAATCAATGGTGGTGATATTCTTCTGGAATTTTATTCCTCTCTGGGCAAAGGATGTGAGCCATTGCTTTTAGGACTCGGTGTCTCCTTAATTAGAAACAATAGGACTGCTGCAAAAATCCTTAGCTAGAAAGTAAAGTGACAGTAGTCGGCTTTAATCTACTACTTGCATGACTAGATTCTCTTTGTTCGTCAACTAGGTCATGTGTGTTGATTATGGCCTTTAATTAGCTGTTACTACTACTAGTTGTTGTTTGCTTGCTAAGGAGAGCAAAACATGCAGTTGCGTGGGAGCACAATTCCGTTCCCTCGTGTCAGACAGGCAAGACTTTGTATGAAGCTGCTGCCGGAGCTGTGCCGGACGGGCTACAGTGTCCACAAGCTGAACACCAGCGCATTCCTTTTTTTTCACAATTGTAGTTGAGCTGAGATTGAGTTTTATTGACAATTATATCCTGTTTAATTACATGTATGTTCCTTGTACTCGTAAATATAGTAAAGCGGTGTAATATTACATTGGGCGTGGCAAAACTATGTCGCTCCGGCTTTGCTAAAGTTCAATGAAGTGAAGTACCACTCGATTAAATTCAGTAATATCAAGTTCCATAGCACCTCGATTTCTTAAATCATTAGTAGATTGAAAATATTAGAATTTAATATGTGAAAAAGGACATTAATAGATTTGTCATGAAGACACTTCATATGGTTATTTTGTAATATATTTTTTTTGTAAACATACAATTAGAGAACACAATGATGAGAGATGTAATTGAAGATTATGTTGATGTCTAAAACAAGAAGTAAAAAAAAAAGATAGGACTGCTAGCGCTGAGTTTTTTCACATGTTGAGGGTGCTGATGTGACCTGGCTTCCAAAGCACAATTAATAATCGAGCAGTAATATTATTAATGATTTTAAAATTTGTCTAAGCTATTGTGTGACGTTGTCTATGTTTGGAACAACTTGCATTAGAGTTTATGCAATTATGGACCTTGATTTCTATTCCCATTTAGCAATAGTACTCCATCCATTTCAAAATATAAGACGCAACTATCACTAATGCAAAGACCAATAAATAATACTCCCTCCATTCACAAAATTTACACCTATTATTTTTGTCACCAAGATAAAAGAGAAATTAAATCATCTTGAATGTTACAAAATCAAGTAGTGAATACATGCATATAACTAATGAGTATTTAGATGACTCGTTAGGTTCTAATCAAACATTTAATTTATCTCTTTATTTAAGTATTGAATGCATAAAGACTACAAATAGAAACTTGTGGATGGAGGGAGGAATAATAATAATAATAATAATAATAATAATAATAATAATAATAATAATAATAATAATAATAATAATAATGTTTATATTACCCTAATAAATACAATGCAAGCAACCAATTAGATTAGAGATCTTGTGAATAGAGGATTAAAAAAATTTAGAGGAGTAAAATGTGCTATTTATTGCATGCTTGTATGCACGCCTTGTATTAGGAAACACTAAAAGGAATTTAGTTGTGTTCATTTTGAAATGGAGGGAGACAGAAAGTAATACTAAATTGTTGAATCGGTTAAAAAGATATATTGTTGAACTCAATTTTGGTGTGTTTAGTTCACGCCAAAATTGAAAGTTTGATTGAAATTGGAACGTTGTGATGGAAAAGTTAAAAGTTTATGTGTGTAGAAAAGTTTTGATGTGATGGAAAAGTTGAAAGTTTGAAGAAAAAGTTTGGATTAAACAAGGGCCTAGAAACCTTGAAATCCTGGATCAGCACCTTCCCTGCACTTATAAAGTCGAGAAATGTTGAGTTGCGCATGTCAAATATATAGTCAATGCACCGTGATGTAACGCAACAAGTACGGTAGTACTACATGTAAAGTACCTAAGTTCAGGTCTTGACACATGCGCTGGGGGATGTGAATGTCAAGATCTCTTCAGCCCCTCCTCTCGTCCTCTGAACTTTTCACTACACATGCCATTAGAGTCAGGCGGCAAAGCACATTGCTTCTGACTCAAACAATCCATGCATCAACACAACACAAACAACAGCTTTATGTTCTCTCTCTCTCTCTCCCCTCTCTACCAATTTGTGTTTTGTTAGTTGGCGAAAGGAAGCTTCCTTCAGACATCTCTCTCTCTCTCTCTCGCGCGCGCGCGCGCGCGCGTCAGCTAATTGGACATTGGTAGTTTGGTACCTTGAGCCAAAGAAAAAAAACGGGAGATTAGAGGCTTCGCACTCAAAGTTGTCGTGGTTGCCTTCATTCAAAGTGTCCATCTTTCGGAGAAAAAAAAACTCAGTTCATTTGAATTCTGCACTGGAGAAGAAACCAGCGCAAACGAACAATGAACAGACATCGACTTCCTCGTCAGTCTTGGGATTTGACGATGGCGTCGGAGCTAGCTGTGAGCTGTCCCACTTGGTCTGCTATTAGTAACTCTTCTTAAGAAATTTATCTAACTACATGTATTTTCTTGAGATTTGATTGAGGAGAATTACAGGACATTTTCCCCAACATTTCTAGCAACCTTTTCTTTCTCTCTGTTTTGAAGTTGGCAACCAGTATGTTAGACCAAAATTGCCGTTGATTAGCCCATCAATAACAAAAGCGATTGTCAAGGGAAATGATGCCCGAGAAGTGGTCCGATTCCATCCAAGAAATGATACGTAAGAAACCCATCGATTTCGACGGTGTTGATTCCAGCAGGCGCTTCTTTTTCCCCTGGTAGTATCACATATAGTATACAAATATACAATAAATTACATTACTGTACAAACATACAATTTTTTTTCATCATGGTCTATTTTCTTGACTTGCACACCGTTAATAACATAGATATAAAATATTTATCCATAAAATATATTTGGTTGTTTTTTTACATCGGTATTTAGTACCATTAACATATATCTAAACTGTAGTTAGGCTCTGTTGGAGAGAGCAGGTTCGGAACGTTTGCCTCCAGCGCAGAAGACAGAGCGATCCATTAGCGCGTGATTAATTAAGTATTAGCTAATTTTTTTCAAAAATGGAACAATATAATTTTTTTAAACAACTTTTGTATAGAAACTTTTTTTTAAAAAAAACGTACCAAAATAATAGTTTGAAAAGCGCGCGCACGGAAATCGAGAGGGAGAGGTTGAGAACATAGACAAACGAACTGAGCTTAAAGTAGTATGCATCATTTCTTTTTGAAAAACTTGAGTAAATTTTTCTGTAATGAGCTAATGTCTAGAAAAGATATTGATTATGAGAAACATAAAAAAGGATATCTTACCTACAACACAAACTCAAAAGAGATGAAAGCTACAGACAGTCTTTAGCTAATATTTTTGTATATCGCAATGGGCCCATACGATGTGGGATGAGCTACACCTGTCCATACAAACTAAGGATAGGCTAAGAGTGTGAATTGAGCATAAAACATTAGATCTAACCGGTTTTCCGTTAACTAACTATTTATTTATTTATTTTTTTAGGAAGGAGGTGGCTACGCTTCGTGCGGCATTGGAGTGGGGAGAAGATGATGGATGACTCAAATTCTAAGGAGTAAACACATTTTGAAAGTACATCTACATAATTATGATAAGCAGTAAGTTATTCCTGCTAATCCAAATACTCCCTCCAACTCAAAATAAGATGCGCAACCACTTTTTCAACGTTTCATAATATAAACATGCACATGCATGCATGCATGTAATTAACTAACACCATCATTCTTTTATTTTTGTTAAATTAGAGATCTTTAGGGTGATCTAGTGAAATTAACCCTTTTTTTTAAAATTAGAGATGTTTAATTTCATTGGATATTAACCCCCATTGGATTTCTCCACCCTCAAGTTAACTAACACCTCCAAGATCTTGAGGGGTGGAGTATGCAATGGATTGTTTTATTGAAGTAATCCAAACAAACAATTGATAATAATTATTTCTTGGCCTTTATATTAGTGAAGATTGCGCCTTATATTTTGAAAATAGAGAGAGTAATAATAGCTAAACTAAATGAGTAATACCCCGCAATTTAATCAATGGCTAGGGGATAATAACCTATGATTATGGTCTAGGGAAGGTACGAGCATTAATGCAATTAGTTGTAACGTACACCTGGATTAGCATGGACAAACTTAATGGAGAATCTTGGCGATTTGATGAATACTCTTGATATGGAGTTCAGCCTTCTTCGTGCTTCATCTTGTTTAACGCGAACGACCTTCCTTCCAAAACAGAGTCAGAGTCTGAGTTCTTATTCCACCGAGATAGTACTACTAGTATTATTTTAGTGTTCGAAATGGAAGAAAATAATTAGTATTGAGCATTGCCCTACATTACGTTTTTACAGGGATTCCACTATTGTGTAGAAACCAAAATCGTGTACTTTACATATAAGTAATATCTTAATTAGATAGTAAATCCTTTTTCTTTGCGAGGCATATTAGTACACTTCCTTTCTTGGCGAGGCATATTACTAATTCCTTTACATACTTTTCTTATTAGGAAAATCTGTTTCACAATGTCTTCCATTAGAAAACGACAAATATATTGCTATTGCAGTTTTCCCACATTTTGCCTTTGCTGCTTTAAAGGGCTGATATAGTTTGACATGTAGTGATATCAACACCTTGGAATTAGAAAAATAACTACTCTGTGGCTCCCTAATTACTCTTTACTTTTTTTTTCTAAATAGGCTTAGAAAAAAAAGTACTACAAAGGGATGAATGTGTATTTACTATTCAACCTTAGCCTCCTTGAAAACAAAAAAAAATGCATAGAAAATAGTTTAATTTTCCACATGGAAATTTTGGTAGGCTTTAATCCATCAAATCAACCACACTAATTACTCCATCATTTAATACGGCCTCATGGCTATGGACCGATGGACATGGACCATGCTGGTACAGTATACGTGCACAGTAGCGCACGTGCTTCACACCTGCCGGTGCATAGACCGCGTCCACGCAGACTCTATACCCTCTCCTTCCTCACTGTCCTTTCCTTTCCAAAATACCATTTCTTCCAATTCGCAGCTGTTGCGATGAATTAAAAAAAAATGGCCAAAACCTTGTAAAAAGCAAAACCCACTCGCCACTAATCGACGCCATTGGCGAGAGCTCGAGCGCGCAACACCACCACGCGGTAGCCTCCCCCAACCTCCACCTCCTCCTCCTCCGCCCGCCCCAGAGCCACCGGATGGCCTCGCTTCTGTAGGAGTAGAGGCGTAGAGCCCAGCGCGAGGGAAGGCGGCGATTGATTTGATTTGACCAAGATTGGTCGGCCGTGCCGTCTGGTCTGAGGAGCCCGGCTCTGGGGGATGGCGGCGGTGGCGGGGGGATCGCGCGCGGCTCCACCGGCGGATTCCGCTGCCGTGGCGGCGGTGGCGAAGGAGGCGGAATACCAGAAGGGCGTGCAGAAGCTGGTGGACCTGCTGTCCAAGCTGAACCCGGCTGCCAAGGAGTTCGTCCCCTCGTCGGCGGCGGTCTCGTCGCCGTCCAGGAAGGCGCTGTCGGCGGACGCGCCGGTGTTCGACTACAACTCGATCGGAGGCTGGAACGGGGGCGGCAAGGAATCCGGCGCCGACGCCTACCAGCAGCGTCGGGTAAAAGAAAAAAAAATCTGAGTTAAAAACTCTGCTGTTCTTGAGAAACTGAATTGGTTGGTTGTGATTGTGCCTGTGTGGGGGATTTGGTTGTTTATTTGATTATTTCTTTCCATTAGTTTGGTAGGTAAAGATTGGATTCTTTTTTCCCCTTGTGTTGGATTGCATTATCGGTTGGTGGTTCGTGGTGCGGTAGTTGGTATTCTTTCGTGAAAGGTTTACCTATTTTATTTTTGATGATTAATTTTTTTTATGACACTGCAAAACCAGTCAATGCACTATGCACAATTCTATTATATTTCATTTCGAATAGTTGTACAGTACCGTAATGTTTCTTCAAAACTGCCATGGACATGGAATAGTTCTTTGATCCACTCTCAAATCAAATCGTCTTGCATTAAGGTAATCCATGCTGAGAATTCCTGCTTTTTTTATTTATTTATAGTAGGTAGACAATCCAAATTACCAAACGCTATTTTTTCTTTGAAACTGCTAGTTCTTTGATCCGCGCTCAAATCGTCTTGTAATGAGGCAACCCATGCTGAGAATTCTTTTTATTTTTTAGCATAACTTTTCTTAGTGGTTCAGATATTAGACGACAAAGATTGAGACTATTTTCCCCAAATATGGGGAAAGTTTGAGATTAGACTCCCCTTTCAGGGTTTCTATTATTCTCCCACTTGGTTTCTTTGTTTATTTTGCTGACTAGGATTTAACAGATGATGATCAGCTGCTTGTAAGAATTAAGTTTGGAGTTGGCAAGTCCATGGAAAAAGAAAATTAATATAAGATCAGAATAGGATGTAATGGTTGTTTTTTTTTTTGTCAGAGGAGGAATGGATACCTCAGTCAAGGAAGGAGGAGGATGAACGAGAGAGCAAGGCATGCAGACAGGGAAGACAGCATTCGGCGAACTGTTTATGTTTCTGATATTGACCATACTGTGAGTAGTTGAGGATTTTTCTAAGCATGCATACGTATTCTAGAGGAGCTGTTATGTCTGATGAGCTGAGCATCTGTTAGGTGACGGAGGAGAGACTTGCTGATATATTTGCTAACTGTGGGCAAGTAAGTTCCTTCAACCTGAAGTATCAAGTTGTACTGGTATTATGTATGAAATACTGCAAATAAGATTTTTCACTATTCCAATGCTCGCATTGAACTAGAGAATTTCTACTAGTTGATCATATTGTTCCACTTATTAGCAAGTCTGTACTTAATGACCGTCGAGTTGATGGAAATAAAGGTAACATGTGCACTCACCCTTTTGTTGCGCTCGTGCACTCAACTTTCGGTTAGGGTTCCAAATCGTAATAAATAATTCCAGAGAAAGGATTTGATGATGCAGTCTACCTCCCTTGAAAGATTTTTACATTTAAAATGGACTAAAAGAAACATTTTTGAAAAACAAGTTTGCTATGGGTGGTAGTATTGGCCCTTTTTCTTTTTTCCCTGCTGACTATAGAATATATTTGAAGTTTTATACATATGTACAGGACCTTGAGAAGTACATCTAGAACTTCTTTCGAAATTTTTCATGATGGTTTTTTATGCTCTAAACTGTAAGTACATGAGTGACAAAGGGTGAGTGCATTTGTATGTTAGAATAAAAACCCAACATCTCTTCTATTAGTAATTTTTTTCTTGTTATTAAGAAAGGAAATGAAACTATTTTGGTTATTCGGTTTTTTTTTTGCTTATATTGTGTACAATATCAAGTACTGCAATTTCTGGGGTTATTGTTTTTATTACTGAAATTATGGAATGAAAATTTCCAAAACCATACTAATACCCTCTCTCTCCTGAAGGTCGTTGACTGCAGAATCTGTGGTGATCCACACTCAGTTCTAAGGTTTGCATTCATTGAGTTTGCTGATGAAGGTAATATAGTTTCACCTTCTACTGAAGTGCCTTCTCCCATAGTGAATCTATTTTTTGATGTATGTAAGTTTTATTTGTTCTAAAGAGGGCGCAAGAACTGCACTTAACCTTGGTGGCACAATGCTTGGTTTCTACCCTGTTAGAGTCTTACCTTCAAAGACAGCTATATTGCCTGTGAATCCAAAGTTCCTTCCTAGGGTAAGTTCTTGTATTGTATGCGTTGTTTCACCTTTTGATGCCAGAATTATTCCTCTTCTCCACATAACCTTAGTACTCATACTGTGTTGTGTCTGGCCCATAGACGGAGGATGAGAAGGAAATGGTCATAAGAACTGTTTATTGTACAAACATAGATAAGAAGGTACATGTCTCCTTTTTACTTCATAGTGTGCTATAGTTTTGACTTGTTTATCTTTTCATCCTCTGGTTATTTATATTTTTTCAAGCTTCGGAAGCTATAGAATTCAAACATATGACATCTTTCACCTTTCCCTGCAGGTTACTCAATTAGATGTAAAGAATTTCTTTGAAGAACTTTGTGGTGAGGTGAGCTTTGAAGCTCAACCATTGGTCAAATTTCACTTATCCTATTTCATAAGTTTGAATTCTTGCTAAGTGGGCGATACTATTTTCTGGTTAATCCTATTATTTATATTCAATTCAGGATGAAAGCTTGCATATCATAACTATCCTGTCTATCGTCATAATTATCCTTTCCATTGCTCCATTTTTTATGTTTGATGTGTTCCTTATTTGCAATTGATCCAAATATCTAACTTAAAATACAAAATCAACTCGAATGGTTGGACAGAGCATGGTTTCTTAGTTGGTGGATGGTGAATGCAGGAAACAACTCAATTGCTTGTAGATATCCTTGTTGGCCTGCATTTCTTCTATAGCTGCTACATGCCAGCTGTAGTCTTGAAACATAAGAACCACAACACAACTCCAAAGCCTGTACTCGCCTGGTAACGATATATGTTACAGAGCCATTGGCAGTTTAATAAATAAGCGGGATTTCTATTATGCTTGATTCCCCACAAGATTTCAATTTCACAGCTAGTATATGCTGTTCTGATTGAGTTAAATTTGACATTTTGTCTATACTTGTCACTCGAAGTTTTGTTCCATCAGCTTCCTATTCTTGAGTATTGATGTCCTAAATCCCAAACCTAACGTATCAGATGTTGAGGAACCATGCACGCACTTATATATTTTGCATTATTGTTCTTGGATTGATCAATTATCGAATATACGGTCCACAACTCCTTGACAGAGGCATAGGGTCTGCTCGGCTGCCTTTGCTGTTGTTGGCTTGTTGCTGCTGTGGCTGCTGCTACTGCCAGCATCTGTGGCCCTCAACGGCAGCAGGTGCCAAGGCATAGCTGTTGTGCAGCCAATGTACTGATCTGCTTTTACTTTGCATGCATGCACAACGGTAGACTGAAGATATCCTTTATTATTTAATCAATAGCATATCGCTGTTTTTGTTCTTGATGGTAGTTCTCTTAATGAATGGTTAGAATTTGTTTCCACAAGTAACAGATGGTTAGAATTTGTTTCTATCAGGGACAACCAAATTAAAGTGTTTTCCTTTATTCTTTATAATTGGTAGTATATTTCTCTCTCTCTTTTTTTCCCTAGTAGCTGTACTGTCATATTTTATATAGTGAATTAGCTGATCTGGCACAAACCTAATATGTTGTATAAAATATGTTCTCTTTGCAGGTCTCTCGTTTGAGACTTCTAGGGGATAATGTACATTCTACAAGGATTGCTTTTGTTGAGTTTGTCCATGTAAGAACTAAGGGCCTTTGCATTGCTTATATTTCAATATAAATTTACCTAGTAGCTTATCAGCTATTTACCTGGAGTTACTGGCACGCGACTTTGCTGACCAAAGTCATCATGAACAAATAATTGATTCCATTTTTAACTAAGCTCTGTCAACCGCAGGCCGAGTGTGCCATCATGGCTCTGAATTGCAGTGGGATGATTTTGGGTACACTGCCTGTCAGGCATGATCCCCAATCCTGTTCATTTATTTATCGGAAGTTCTAAAATATTGTAGATTTGCTGATCTTGGCACTTGTATGTTCAGGGTGAGCCCTTCTAAGACACCGGTGAAGCCACGTTTAAATCGAGTGGCGTCGAACTGACCGCTTGAGCCAAGCTGGATTGTTTACGGGAAGATCGCTTAACCATCACCTATAGCCTTCCGCGATCCAGCGAATTGTGATGCTTTTTTCATTCACCCCTTTTGTCGAAAACTGTTGGAAGGAACTGGTTAAATCAGATCCTTGGGAGTCCGAGTCAGCATCTATGTCTGAGAGTTTATTCATCATGATGGAGAACAACCAATAGACTATCCGCCACTAGATTAATTTCTTTGGCTCCCGATTTTTTTTCCTTCTTTTTCTCAGTGCTACAACTGTTAAAACTGAATCGATATTTAACGTCTTTAGTCTTCACTTGAGGACAATCTCAGTGTCGTTTATAATTTCTCTAACCTCTTTTTTGCCAGGGTAATTTCTGTGACCTGATTGCTGTATATACAGAATTTCGCATGCACCACGTTAGCCGTACATAACATGTGTTAGTTCTAAAAAGTTCCTTGTGCCCCTGATTTTTCCCACTACACTACCCGTTGTGAACAACGATGACGAAGTAAAACCCGACCAACAACCAGTCAACCATTGACGGAACTTGCCAAACCCGACCCAATTATCAGGTTAACTCGTCATCTACTAGATGGCAAAGGGTATAACCGTATGGCAAAAGGCAAAACCGAAAACCAGTCATCATTGTCGCCACTCAGCACTCACAGGGCTAGAAAACCAACATGGTCACATACATACCGCGCTGGTGAGCTCTCATAAGTTAGATGGCAACACGTATCAATGCGCACCTGGCACTACATAAAACGGAATAGTTTTAACAAGCACAGGAACACATAAAAGAAGGGAAACTTTGATGAACCAGATAACTTTTGCCTAATCATCATCAAGAGTAACCCAAAAAAAAACAATGCTTGCAAAAGAGCGATCAGCGAGTGCTTAGTACACGATGTTGCTCAAGAAGTCGAAGAATCAGGCCCAGACTACAAGCGAGGGTTACTCAGCAGCTCAACTCCTACACTACAGAACCTAACACTAACAGTGAGTAAATGGTAGTCCTTCCGCACCCCACCACACCCTTGTTGTTGTTGTTGTTATGCTTCGACTCTACCAGCTATTAGCACCTCCATCACTGCAAACATAGCAGGCGTGTTAAACAGATTTACTCAGTGACTAGGCGAGTGGATCAATATATCTATGGGAGAACATTGGGTGCGACTGCATACCGCTGCAGGGTCACCTTTAGCACCAGTTGTATCTGTTCGTTCCCTAATATCGTCTGCAAGAGGGATTAAATATGTGAGTTATATTATCTCGTCCATTGAGCTATCCGTCATGTTTTTTTCATTATAACATTAGCTTTTATCTGCTATCCTTATAAAGACTTAAATCTGTAATCCTAACAGCACAAGCAAAATACAGCCGGTAAAGCATGCTATCCACTGCAGAAATAAGGTAGATTATCCACTACTAGACAATGTAGTTTCGTGAGCACGCAAAAAAAGAAAACCAGGGTACATAGCAACAAAAAGGTGTTGCCTACTCATGACAAGGTCACAGGATATGTAACAACATCAACATAGGGATTAATGATTCAATGTTACCTGCATCATCAGCCATATCAGAATTCCACAGTGCTAGATTATCCCTCAGAAGTTGCATGATCAGTGTACTATCTTTGTAATTCTCCTCACTGAGGGAGGGAAGCTCCGCAACAGCTTCATCAAAGGCGTTCTTAGCAAGTTGGCAAGCTCTGATATACAAGTAAACCAAGAATTAATCCACTTAACAACTAGGTATAGATCAGAGCAGGCAAGGAATGAGAAACAACATACTTGTCAGGTGAGTTCATGATCTCACAGTAGAAGACAGATATATTCAGAGCTAAACCAAGTCTGATAGGGTCAGTTGGAGTGAGATCTGTCTGCGCAGTTTTGGAAGCAGTCTGAACACATGCAAAACAAAAGACAGAACATCAATTAGATGGGGGCTGTGACAACAATCACCAGGCTCACATGTACAGAGTTAGTACAATCCATCACATATTGTGTATAATCTGATGTCTCTATGGTAACACAAAATTATTGGAAGATCAGAATTGGCAGCTTAAAATAACATCAAACTAAATGTTTTACAAGGATGTGTATAATTCAAAAAGTGTGGACCTAGCAATTTTTCCTTCAATTACCATAAAATCCAAGTGCCAGTACTGCATGTCTATACAAGCTGTGCACACTTGTATGAGCCTCATTATGCAAATACGATTGTACAAGATGAATCACAATTTAGCAAGTACCTGCCTATCCACTAGAAATTAAAAAAGCAAACGTATGCAAGCCAAGCATGACAATCGTGAGGAAATAAACTTACATATACAACCAAGACTTGATAAATGGTGAACTCAATGAAACAAGTGACTTGAGAAAACAGAAACAAGTTGAAAATGAAAAAAGGATCACATGCCTCATAAGCATTGAGTGACAGTTCAGACACTTCAATCTTCTCAGTCCCAGTCTTGAACTCTGCAAGGTACCGGTAGTAATCTCCCTTCCTAAAATCAGGAATGCATTGATCAGACAATAATCCAAACACATTTAACAAGAATTAACAAAGGGTAAAGCAGCGTCACATTTTGTAGTAGAAGACTGAGCTCTCAGCTCCAGAGGAATGTGGGATAAGGTACTTGTCAATAATGTTTATGACATCACAGCAGATTTTATCCATCTCAGCCTCCACCTTGCGACGATACTCAGCAGTCTGCCTTACATGACTCTCCTTGCCCTTTGTCTCCTCCTTTAGCTCAATGGATCCAATGATACGCATTGCCGCACGCTTTGCACCAATCAAATTCTTGTAGCCAACTGAGAGGAGGTTCCTCTCCTCCTTTGTCAGCCCCTCGTCTAACTTTGCCACACTATTCATTGCCTCCACCATCTCTGCAACATGGATGACAAAAAATCTCAAACAAGGAATGGACAGTTGATCAAATGCATATTTATTGTCTCAAAATAAATCATGCTACTTATTGTCTCATATTAGCGTACCACGCATACACAAGAACCTGGCAGAACGCCAGAACCAATATGTGATCACTTCATCTAGAGAGAGAACTGATAATGTGTTAACTTCATATAATATGGACACCAGAACAATACCACATCGGAATCACAAATCCTTGCCACTAGGCAATTCATGCAAGATATTATTGTTGAATAGTCCCACATTGTTTGTGGAAGGGCAAAGGACCTAAGATATAAGTGGGGGAGCCCCTCACCTCAATGGCTAGCTTTTGGGGTGGGAAAGGCCCTTTACGATCCTACAATTGGTATCAGAGTCAGGCTAGGTTAACATCTCTGGCCCGATGGATACGTGTGAAGGCCTGATGGACCGTGGGTGCCTGCGGGGCCCGTATACCTGATGGACTGTGGGCCAGTGGGGCCCGGATACGGTGAAGGGGCGATGAAGGGCTGAGGGACACCAATGTGTGAAGGGGGAGATTGTTGAATAGTCCCACATTGTTTGTGGAAGGGCAAAGGACCTAAGATATAAGTGGGGGAGCCTCTCACCTCAATGGCTAGCTTTTGGGGTGGGAAAGGCCCTTTATGATCCTACACCGTGGCAATGAACGCCGCTATGGAGGAAAAATACTCTGCGAAACCATTTGTTTTCGATGGACACAATTTTGTCATTTGGAAGGCACGAATGGAGGCCTACCTCCAGTCGCAAGGGCATAATGTGTGGAATAAGGTTAAATCACCTTACACTGTGCCCGATGATGCTGACATCACGCCTGCAAATATGGCTCAGGTTGATTTTAATTATCGTGCAAGAAATGCAATCATTGGTGGAATTTCTTCTGGTGAATTCAATCGTGTTCAACACCACAAGTCCGTTCATGACATGTGGACTGCTCTGTGCAATTTCCAGGGAAACAATGATATTCAATTGGTTCGTCAGAATCAATTTCATAAAGAATATCAAAGATTTGAGATGCACCCAGGAGAGTCTATTGATTCTTATTTCAAGCGTTTTGGAGAAATTGTTTCGAAGTTGAGATCTGTTGGAAAAGAGTTTTCTGATAATGATAATGCTCGCCATCTTTTGAATTGTCTTTATTATGGTGTTTGGGAAATGAAGGTTGCTTCCATCACAGAGAGTGCACCTCTGAGTGACCTTACCATGGACAAGCTTTACTCAAAGCTAAAAACCCATGAGATGGATGTTTTCCATCGGAAAGGCCTCAAACACTCGGTGGCTTTGGTAGCTGATCCCTTTGGTAGTACTTCTTCTAATGACTCAGCTTTTGTGTGTGGTGGCTTCTCTCTTGCCGCTTTACACTCAGTCACTGAGGAGCAATTAGAGAAGATCCCTAAAGATGATCTTGCTCTTTTTGCTAGAAAATTCTCAAGAGCTTACAAAAATGTGAGAGATAGAAAAAGAGGAAAAACCAATGAACCATTTGTGTGTTTTGAGTGTGGAGAGCCTAACCACATAAGAGTGAATTGTCCCAAGTTGAAGAAGAAGAGTGACAAGATGACCAAGAAGACCGAGGGACAAGGGCGAAAGGGGAGAAAGGATTTGATGAAGAAGGCGATCCACAAGGTCTTGGCGGCTCTTGAGGAGGTGCAGCTTAGCGACATCGACTCCGACGACGATGATCAAGAAAAGGGGGACAAGGACTTCTCCGGGATGTGCTGTCTCGCCAACAACGAGGACTTCATCAACCTGTGTCTCATGGCACTTAAGGATAAGGATGACTCATCGGAGCATCCTGAGGTATGTCTTGATGATATCCCTTCCTTGGATGGTTCTCTTTGTGATGATTCTTGCTCAGATAATGACTCTGTTGATGATGAACTAAGCAAAGAAAGAATGGCACACTTGATGATTGAAATTAGTGACAAGTATAGGTCTTCTAAGTATAAAATTGAGAAACTAAAATCTGAAAATGATGGAATGGAGCTAGAAATTGCTAGGCTTCGATCCATGATTCCTAAGGAGGATACCTGTTCTACTTGTGCTTCATATCTTTCTGAAATTTATCTCCTCAAGGATAAGTTGAAATCATGTGCTTTAGGAGCTGGGAATCCTTCTAGTGCTAGTGCTACTTGCTCTACTTGCTATGAAATGAAAGTTGATATGGGTTTGCTTGAGATGGAATTGAAAGAACTAAAAGAAAAATTTGTTCATGATAGGATTGGTAGGTGTGAAAATTGTCCCATTCTCACTAGTGACAATGATGAATTAAGACAACAAGTTGACATGCTTAGGACCAAGAATGATTTGTTAGAATCTTTTGCTACTAAGGAACCTGTTCATTCTTCATGTGCTAATTGTGCTATCCTAGAAACTGAACAAAAAGATGCTAAAACTGTCATTGATTCTATCAAATCTATTGATTCTTGTTCATCATGCATTTCTCTGAAAGTTGATCTTGAGTCTGCTAAGAGAGAGAACTCATACCTACAACAATCTTTAGAGAGGTTTGCTCAAGGAAAGAAAAAGTTGAACATGATCCTAGACCAATCCAAAGTGTCCATAAACAATCAAGGTATAGGCTATGATTTTGCTTATGATTTTGCTGAGTCTTTGAGGATAGGTACCCATGAGATTTTAGGTGTCAGATGGGATGATAGAACTAGCTCAAAAACCTATAACCTTCAAGTCTGCAGGTTTCATTGAAAACACTAGTTCTAGTTCACCCAAAACTTCAGAACTAGCAAATCTAAGCCTGTAGAGTTACGTAGACCCAAAAATCCAAAACAAGTTGAGCTCAAACAAAACCAGAAACAAACCAAGCCTGTAGAGAAAACCAAGTATGAGTGCACCTATTGTGGGAAAGCTGGTTAGAAAGGCTAGAAAAGAACGACAAGAACGTCTTAGGACTAGGAGAGCTACTAGAGTCCCTGGGAGGTTCGAGTGTGCGTGTCATTGTCGTTCAAGTGGTGTATCTCGCTTTCCTCGCCGAGATGTGCACCCTCGACGTGACCCAGCAGGGTTGGGGCAAAACAGACATGGTCATCTTGCATATGATTCTGCTCATAACACTAAAGATACTTGTACTCCTCGCATGGTTCAGTACTGGATTCCGAAGTCATTTCTCACTAACCCCAGTACTGAATCATCGAGATCTGCTTTGTCTTTCTTGTAGGATTTTGGAGTAGGGAGGAGTAACTCTTGGCTTGTGGACTCCGGTTGTTCACGCCACATGACCGGTGAAGCCAAGTGGTTTACTTCTCTCACTCGTGCATCCGGTGATGAGACCATCACTTTTAGGGATGCGAGCAGTGGACGCGTGATGGCTAAAGGAACAATCAAGGTCAATGACAAATTCATGCTGAAGGATGTCGCGCTTGTAAGTAAGCTTAAGTACAATTTGCTCTCTGTTTCACAACTCTGTGATGAAAATCTGGAAGTTCGTTTCAAAAAGGACAGGTCTCGAGTTCTCGATGCTTCTAAATCTCCTGTTTTTGACATTTCTCGAGTTGGTCGAGTTTTCTTTGCTAACTTCGACTCTTCTGCTCCTGGTCCTTCTCGTTGTCTCATTGCCTCAGAGAATAGGGATTTGTTTTTCTGGCATCATCGTCTTGGTCATATTGGCTTTGACCACTTGTCTCGCATTAGTGGTATGGATTTGATTCGGGGTTTGCCTAAGTTGAAAGCTCCGAAAGATCTTGTGTGTGCACCATGTCGTCATGGGAAAATGACATCTTCCTCCCACAAGCCTATTACAATGGTTATGACAGATGGACCGGGACAACTGCTTCACATGGATACGGTTGGTCCTGCTCGGGTCCAGTCAGTTGGGGGGAAGTGGTATGTCTTGGTTGTTGTGGATGATTTCTCTCGCTACTCTTGGGTCTATTTTCTTGAATCAAAAGAGAAAACGTTTGGCTTCTTTCAGTCTCTTGTTCGTAGATTGGCTTTGGAGTTTCCTGGTGCTCTTCAAGCAATTCGCAGTGATAATGGCTCTGAATTCAAAAATTCTGCATTTGAATATTTCTATGATTCTTCTGGAGTCGAACATCAGTTTTCTTCGCCATATGTCCCACAACAGAATGGGGTGGTTGAGAGGAAGAACCGCACCCTTGTGGAGATGGCACGAACTATACTTGATGAGTTTACTACTCCAAGAAAGTTCTGGACTGAAGCTATTTCTATGGCTTGTTTTATCTCCAATCGTGTGTTTTTGAGAACTATCTTGCACAAGACGCCATATGAGCTCAGATTTGGTCATCGACCAAAAGTTTCACATCTCAGGGTCTTCGGTTGCAAGTGCTTTGTTCTTAAACCTGGAAATTTGGACAAGTTTGAATCTCGATCTGTGGATGGCATTTTTCTTGGCTATGCTACTCATTCTCGGGCTTATCGAGTTTATGTTCTTTCAACTAACAAAATTGTGGAGACTTGTGAAGTCACTTTTGATGAGGCTAGCCCAGGAGCTAGACCAGAAATTTCAGGTGTTTCAGATGAAAGCATCTTTGTGGATGAGGATTCAGATGATGATGACGATGATTCCTTTCCTCCACCTCTAGACAGTACACCACCAGTGCAAGAAACCGGTTCTCCTTCGACTACATCGCCTTCAGGAGATGCACCAACTACATCATCTTCAGCAGCTGAGGAGATTGATGGTGGCACATCAGGACCGACAGCTCCCCGACACATCCAGAACCGACATCCGCCTGACTTGATGATCGGAGGCCTGGGTGAAAGGGTAACTAGAAATCGGTCTTATGAACTTGTTAATTCAGCATTTGTTGCCTCTTTTGAGCCTAAAAATGTTTGTCATGCTTTATCTGATGAGAATTGGGTTAATGCCATGCATGAAGAGTTAGAGAATTTTGAAAGAAACAAAGTTTGGTCTTTGGTAGAACCGCCCTTGGGTTTTAATGTGATTGGAACAAAATGGGTTTTCAAAAACAAACTAGGTGAA